GTGATTCTGCTCCTGCTCCATGGGCATCGGGCACAGACAGCTCTTGGCACAGCTCACCTGTGATACATGCTGTCCCTGTCACCTTTCCCCTGCTCTCAGCCCTCCCACATCAGCATGAGTGTACAGGGATGTCTGGACATGGAGGGCAGCAGGAGAGGTGGGATTTGAGGGATGATGTGCTGGGGCAGCACTGCACTCACGGAAGGATTGTGTTTTTGCAGGAGTGCCGGATTGCTCATCCCATCGTTAAATGCACTTACTGCAGGACTGAATTCCAACAGGAAAGGTAAATGCCTGCTGGGCTGGGGAGATCCATGTTTCCTGCAGGACAGACACGCCTAGGGAGCCTCAGTGCGTCCACACCTTCGGTGACTGAGCCTTAATCTGTGGATTGTTGCTGTCTGTGGAGGACTTGGGGAACCTTTGGCCACCCTCAAAGGTCTTCTGGGCAAGTCACAGTGTCTGCACTGCCCTTCCATTGCATCTTTTGCTTGGGTTTTGGTTTTGGTTTTGGTCAGTGCTCAGGTACATCTTCCAAGGAAGCATCTGGGTGCATAGAATCATAAAATTTTAGGGGTTGGAATGGAGCTTAGAGATGATCCAACCCCCTGGGCAGGGACACCTCCCACCAGAGCAGGTTGTTCAAGGCTCATCCAACCTGGCTTTGAACACTACCAGGGTTGGGGCAGCCACAGCCTCCCTGGGCAACCTGTGCCAGTGTCTCACCATCTTCCCATGAGTTTTCCTCATACCTGATTTCTGGTATCCAAAAATTGATTCCTACTAATTTCCTTTAGATGAGCTTTTGCCTTTCTGTTTTGATGAGCTCTGTAGCTGTCAGAGAGAGGATTGGCAAACCCAGAGCTGTGTGTGGCTGTTGTGTGGGATGTTCTGTCCTGTGTTTGTTGGAGAAATACATCCCTGTCCTGACCTGCCTTAACCTCAGTTCTGTACAGAGCCTGTCCTGGTGCTGAATCCCTCCTGCTGCCAATTAGCCAGTGATTAGCTGTGTTTGTAAGAACAAAAAAAATGAAGTCATCTGGGGATGCCTTAATTAAAAGATACCTCCTAGTAAGGCCACTTTTTGGCAATTTTTCCTCAGCCAGATGGGGGGAGGAAAAGCACTTTGATATCTGAGTCCCTAGTGAGGATGAATACAGCCTCATCACCAGAGACAGAGCTGAGGGGAGGTTGGGATCCTACCCAGGGATCCTGACCAGGGATCCTAACCAACAATCCTCACCACAGGGTTTCATTTGCTATGGGGAAGTGTTAACAGAACCATCTGTCCTTCTTTTTGACAGCAAAACCAACACGATATGCAAGAAGTGTGCTCAGAACGTGAAGCTCTATGGCACAGTAAGTGAGCAGGGCTTGTCCTCACCTCTTCCTTTCATCTCTCTTGTCTTTATCCTGC